GGCTGATCTTACTGTGTTTTATAGAAGGGCTGCCTTGGTTGGTTTTCTGGTAAGTTGGTGATGCATGGCTATTGCTTTGCGGTCTCTTTTCCGGAGTTAAAGGTGATGTCATTACTTGAGTGACTGCTGAGAAAAAAGAACACACCAAGAGGGATGAAAACTGGTTGAAATGGCAAGCTTGGGACCTTGATACATAGCTGGCCTTATTAAACAGAGATATTGTATCTGAGCTATAAAGACACACACACATATAAGTATATAAAAAGAGATAAAACAGAGCATTACAGAATTACTGTTGAACAAATTAAGGTAAACAGAGTTTTAATTTCTGTTCTGAGTCAAGGACAAAGAACAGACCATTGATTCATTCCGGACTGGATTATGAATCTGAAGCCGTGGCCTAGTTACTTTTGCTTCACCTACTGTATAAGGTCAATCAGTCATTTCACAGACACATACACTTAATAGAGTCAGACGTTATATCATTCATCCACAGGGATTTGCATCCACTAGAACACATAAACACTGTTCACTGACAATCAATAAATTAGGCAGATTAGTACAGAAGAAATTTGCATTTTGTGCCTTGAAGGGTACAGTTGGTTCTAAAAATAAACTATTAAATACTGAAATGGTTCTTGACAGAGCAGTGAAAATGCATTGTGTCAGATGTTCTTTTTAGTTTAGTAAGGTCAGTTTTCAACCTCCTTTCTATCCTCTGCATGACATGTCTTTTAAATAAATTGCTCACTCATGATGGTGTCCTTTGTCTGCTCCGTCTCTTTGCTTTTTCTCTTCCTCTCCGCTTCCCTAGCTCTATTCCCATTACACACACACCCTCTGCTATAAGAAGCAGAGTGGACATAAAGCTCACTGAGAATGTTTGAGCTCAATGACATATAGTTCCATAAACAACGCAACGCAGCACTACAACTAAAAATACTCATGCCATGTTCATGCAGAAAACTCCTGACAATAATGAGGTCTAACTACAGACAATAGAGGTAGAGCATACAATATATTTTCAATCATCTAAAGACATGATTTGAAATTCTTGTCAAAGAAACAACCATCACAACATCTAATCACATTTCTTAATGTGTCTGAAAATGTATTTCATATAATTATATCTTTATATATCTGCTCTATATAAATGGTTTCGATATTAAGAATGGTATCAATAAAAATATTCTTGAAGGAAACCTTGAAGGAAATCATTTGAGAATCTAAGACCCTACTTTGCTTATTTAGTTCTATAAATATAATAATAAATATACGATTTCATTTGCACACACACACACACACCTAGTGTATATATGGATATGTAATATTATTATTAATGCTACTATAATACACTTTATCCTACACTTGTCAAAACACAAGTGTGCTACAATGATCTGTCAATATGTGTGTCAAATGTACATGTTTGGACACAAAAGTAACATGCATTAGGACAGCGACAGTTCTGCAGATGCTGCTTAGATCACACACACGACTGAAGCAGCTCCTGAGCCGGATGTAGCTCCCTCCATCGATTTTCCATTACATTCATTTGGCAAATGGACGTGGTTCAGTCTCATCCGAGTTTGACTTCATAGCGTTGGGCGGGCGGTGCTCGCCCCGTCAACTTTCGAGAACCTCCCATGCCATGAAAATGCAACGCAGTAGGCTACAGAAACAATGGACTTGCTCCATCTGACGATAGCAATCAAACAAACAATAAACCCCTGCATCGAGTCGCGCCGACAATTGTGTGCAACAGACAGGCTAAACTAAAAAAAGTAAAAGTAATAAATGAAAAACCGGTCTCGAAGTGCAGCAAGGCCTGTTACGATGTAAACGCGTCATAAATCATAGCTTCAGCGGGTTTTGTCTGCCAGATCAGACAGCAGCTTTAAGCTTTGGAGAAGGAAATTATTCGAATGAGCACGTCATTGTTCTTCATCGCCCCACTGTAGCATCATAAGCATGGGAATTTGAGTGTGTAAGCAAGGCATTGTCCTACTCATCCAATGCACATGCAAACACAACTGACGGAACGCTACCTTTGCGCAAGTAGCTCACCTGTCGTTGTACTGACATCGGTGTTGACAGCGTTCTCCGCCATCTTCGCGGTCCACCGGCGCCTCTTCCAACCGCAATGCCACGGACAGCGCCGCAGCAAAACGCTACCCCCCCCCAAAAAAAAATCAAGCCAAGGGAACCAGCATTGCCAGCTTCTTCCTGGACTGCCGCTGCGCTCCCGGGACCCGATCCGCTTTCCACACTCTCAGCAGAACGCGCTCTGTGGCGCTATCGCAGATTGTTAGGTTTGCAGTGAAGAATCGATCGAGAGGAAAGTTCTTCTGTCCGGTGAAGAGGAGAGTCGCGAGAGGCTGGACAGCGCAGTGGTGCTGAAACACGGCGTGACGTCATCCCCAGCGGCGTAAACCACGACAGAGAAACGGATTTAGGTCTACGAGAAACAAAAGACTGCCTACGTCCACATGTTCACAAGCAAAACTTTACAAATGACACATGTAGGCGTAAAATTATAAAATGTTATATTGACAGAAATTGTTGTTATTAACGTAGGTCCATCCATATACATTACACATTTTAGGTAATATAATCAGACTACTTTTAGATTACTTTTGAACTATCTCGTTTTTCACATTGATTTAACTAGGATAATCCTGTACCACACTGATAGCCTATAAAAATACAAAGAACATATATTCCATTTGTTGACATGAAGTGTATTAAACGTTTAGAAGTCAAGGTTTCCCAAAATGGGGTTTATGAGTTTAATGAGAAGTTAATCATGAATTAAATCATAAAAATGTTCAATTAAAACAATTTTAAAATTAATAAAAATAAAACACTTGCTGAAAAAATGAAATATTTTTATTTGTTTACCTGCATGTCTTGTGACCATAACCAACGTCAGAGAGCAATGAATATGCAAATGTAATAGGCCTACTTCATTACTAAAAAAAAAAAAAAAAAAAAACATTTTAAAATTTCAGGTACTTCAAATAAAAATATATTAGGTGAAAGAGGATCAGATATTATTTTCAGTAGTTGATTATTGAAAAATTATTGCTATTGTGTAATCGTAATAAGTGTAAGAAGTATCGCTTTTTATTTCTCCTCTTTCCTATTACTTGTTTCGCCTGTTTCAATTTTTATAACCATTTCTTACTATGTGTAAGTAAGTTGTTGTTTTTTAGCATGCATGTTTGGCAGTGTTATTTTTAGGATTACTGATAAACTACTGTCATTTGATTTGTATTATTTGTATTTGTTATTTATTTTAATTTTAGTTACATTATGTCTGAATTTATTCTGTCTGTATAGGTATTTTATTAAGTTTTTAGTTTTATTTAATTTGAGTTATTTTAATACTTCAAACTAAATGGAAATGAAATATATTGAATTTATAAATGTGTGTGTATATATATATATATATATGTGTGTATGGTTGTACATACATATGTAGTTGGTTTTTTGGTGTTTGGCTTAGTGTTATGTTAGAATCATTATTATACTCATACCTTTTGTTCTTTAATATTTTGAATTTTTAGCTTTATTTTTTTTGTTTTTCATTTAAATGTTAAGTTTTGAAATTTTGTTGTATGCATTTGTCATTTTTATTTAATCTCTTTATTTTTAAAATGTGTTTAGGTAGTATTTATAAAGTTTTAGCTTTTAGTTTAGGATCTGTTTTAGTTGTTTTAATACTACAATTGATTGCTTCTGTTGTCCTCATTTGTAAGTCGCTTTGGATAAAAGTCTCTAATAAATGACTAAATAAATAATCATGTAACCCATAAAATGTAGCCTAACTGTAGTCTGATTACGAGTATTTTAAAATGTAATTTCATCTAATTAAATGTCCTTAAATGTTGGAATCTGATTACGTAGGCTAATTCAGATTATATGTAATCAGTTACTACCCAGCTCTGTATGTATACATAGTGTGTGTGTGTGTGTGTGTTTTTTCACACTTTTTTCCAGATGGACAAGCAGGTAGCGTGCACTCACTAGCTATATTTGTCCATTCAATCCCACTGACCTCATAAATATGCCAATAAGAACGATGACATTAGGGGTTTTAATTGTAACGTGGATTCTTGATGAACAGTGTAAAACATGGTTAATTATTTTTCAGAATTAACCATTTTAAGTGTGAAAAGCCTCATTTACACTTCAAATTTGCTCAAAAAGGGGTCAAAAGAAACATTTAGTAGCAGTCAAATGACCAACACTGCATCACAGGTATCTAACCGCGACGTTTGAGGTCACTGCTGGGTCTCCTCTGTGGAGATGGGCCTTGTGATATGGATGAAACGTGGCAGTCCGATACAGCCGGAGGGCAGCAGGACTGGCAGTAACGAGTCCAAATGAAGTGGGTCAGTACTTCTCTTAGTCCAACAGTAGACAAGATCGACTCCAGACAACATCCAAACTTACTACTGCGTGACCAAACTAAGGTCTAAAAAAAAAAATGTATTCTACACAGAACCTGAAAACCTCTAATACTTATCGAGACTATTGCCATTTTAACCAGAACCTGTAAACCTCAAGGACAGAAATATCTACCTACGGTTATGACTGTATGATTTGTAATCAACTCATTATTAGAAAACAAAGAAATTAGATAATAGTCATTTCAGTTCCTACTGCCAACTAGTGGACAAAATAGGTTACTGCTACTTCCATTCCGTACAAACTGAGGGGGACAAAACCAAACAAAAAATGTAAAAAATAAAAAAAAAATCATTATTTATTTATTTTTTTTTTTTCAGGCACAGCAGAAATGCATGCAAATTCCATGAAGAGACAGTGTAAATGGAGAAAATATAATACAGAAAAAAAGAAAGCAACTATACAAGAAATAAAATTCAGTCCAAACAGATAAAAGGCTTGACTTTTTATTGTAAATTCTGGATTTCTTTGCATTTTAAATTCCACTACATACAGTGGAATACAATATAAATACTTTAAAATCATAACAAAACCATGCAGTCTGTGTTGTGTGGTTGTCATTGAATGAGAAAGGGCACGATTGTTGTGACAGTCAGAATGCTCGGAGAAGACCTGTAGCGAGATGAGAGAGAGAAAGTGGAGAGAGAGAAACAGATAGAGATAAGCAGTAAGCCTCCGAGTGTTTCTCTGAGGGAGGTTGCAGTAGGATATGGGGCATCAGTTATGCCCAAGCTGCAATTTTTCCCAAACAAGAAAGTTTTCTCTCCTCTCAGTGTAAACAATATAACCCACCAGCAGTCGTGACTCAGATCTGTGAGAGAGGGCAGAAACAAACACATAAATGTACAGGTTTTTCCAAACACTTCCGTATGTTGTTCTAACCTTAAAAGAGATGCTTGAGAGACCAGAGCAGTCAGACACAGTTAAACCATTTGGTTTTCATAAAGTTACTGCTTATGGTTAATTGATCAATTATGCATATCAACATCTATATCAACCATTCAAAGGTTTGGGGTCAATAAGACTTTTTCAGTTTTCTTCAGAGTTTCTTAATGTTGTTAAAGACTCTTAGGGGCCATTCACACAGAATGCATCTTTGCATCTAATGGTCATACACGTCTGTCTAGTGCATTTACAATGGAAAAGTAGCATATTGGAATGGAAAAACGCATTCTGTGTGAACAGCCCCTTATGCTGTACAATACTACATTTAATTAATCAAAAATGCAGTAAAAACAGTAATAATGTATGACAATTTAAAATAACACTTCTATTATAACATTTTTAAAAATGTAGCTTTCAGCATCATTACTCCAGTTTTCAGTGTAATATGATCCTTCAGAAATCATTCTAATATGCGGATTTGGTGCTCAAGAAACATTTCTTTTTATTATTATTATCAATGTTGAAAGCAGTTATGCTGCTTAATATTTTTGTGGAAACTGATCAATTTTTTTCTGGATTCTAGAAAGTAGGAATCTTTGTAACATTTTACATTACTGTGTGATATTTAACACGTCCTTGCTGAATAGAAGTATTAATTTCTTCATTTAAAAAATAAATAAATAAAACTCACCCAAACTTTTGAATATTAGTGTATATTAGTTTTTTAGTACAGCAGAAATATAGTAATACAGGCAATAGAAACTCAAAATTCCAGCACTTCGATATTTGTCACTTATAAAAAAGAAAGAAAAAAGTGTCATGATAAAAACAAATCAAACACGTACGTCATCAATGTCCTCATCGTCACTCCCAATATCATCAAACTGAATCTCATCATCGTCTCCAGGTCCAAATGTGTCAGTTTCATTGATTTTAGCTGCAGGAAAGAAAGAAGATTAGCCAAGAGTCTTCACTTGCATGCATCTACGTCATCTGACATTTACAATTGTGGGCGATTTGTTTTAGTACCATGACATTTCCATAAAACATTTCCAGTAAACAGAAATCAGTAAGGCCAGTTTGAGACTCACCGTGTTCTGGAAGCTCTCCATAGGCTTTAAGACTGCGGGCCTCATCTGCATTGTACTTTAAAATGACATCTGCTTTGGTATCCTGTGAAATACATATTCAAGAATTCAAAAACTTTTCATTTCATAATAAAATATCAATTGACAAATTGCAAAAAAAAAAAAAAAAAAAAGAAACCTACCTGGTAATCTCTAAGACCAACGAGGATTATGTCAGATGCGTTGATCCAAACCTAAAGGAGATATGACAGTATGTTTAATACTTGGGCAAGAAAAAAAAAAGTTGTGTCCTTTTTAGGTTGTCTTCTAGGTAAGCAGAAATAAGAGAGGTAAAATGAGCAAAATTACATCAAATTATCTATACAGCCATAGAAATATGACAGTCATTCGGATCCATAAACCTACAGATCATTAACATCAGCTTACCTTTTTCCGGAGCTTTCCTCGAATGTGGCAGAGTCGCTTGACCCCATCAAAGCACATGGCCTCTAGCCGTCCATTTCCCAGCATTTTTATCACCTGACCATATTCTGGCACAAGACAAAGGTAATTCTTGGATAACTGAACTGGTTTCTTTGCACACACACACGCGCACACACACACGCGAACACACACACACACACACATGCACACGCACACACACACACACACATGCACACACACACACTATAGATCAAACATTTGGGGTCAATAGGATTTAATGTTTTTGGAAGAACCAAACAAACATACAACAGAAAGAGTAATATTATTACAATTTAAATTAAATGTTTTCTATTTAATATATTTTAAAATGTAATTTATTCCTGTGATGGCAAAGTTGAATTTTCAGCATCATTACTACAGTCTTCAGTCCCACATAATCCTTCAGAAATCATTTAAAATTATTTATTTTAAATGTTAACATTTATCAAATATGATACACACTTACTGACCCCAAACCTTTGAGAAAAGACTGATGAGGTGAAAATTGTCATTTATTTGCACATCATATACAGAGGGCCAAACTATTGGCGGATTTGAATTCGATCCCACATGTTGTGTGTATGTTTCCTTACCCTGGCCATCCTCCTTGAAAACCAGCTCTCTCTTCTCTGACTCATTCTCGTTCTTACCACGCCGCCGATTTTTACCTCCTTTACCTACAGAGATGAAATTAACACTTTGAATTATCTTGTACCGTAATAAGCAGATATTAGATCTTCCCCTATATTTCAGTTCCCTCTCTCATCCTGGATATAACCTTTTCCAAAAGCTACAATATTGGATTCAATTAAAACCTTGTACATCTATTTACATACACGTGACACACTGTATATGTAGTAATAGAGCTGACAGGCCTTTATTTTTGCTCAGAATATTCACATTAACCCTATACAGCCTGCTGTACCATATCTGATACAAGAATGATACATTCCTTTTGCCCTCTGATTGATAGTAGTTTATACTTTTTTAGTAAGTACAAGGCCTTTTAGTATAATTCCTTTTAGTGTATTCATAGCATGTGTCTTTAACATACATAATCTTACATTTTAATAATCTTAAACATACATAACTTTTATATCATTAGCAATATTTCAAGATGAACATTTACTGGACTGAAGCAACTTAGGTTTACGTGATGAAGTATTCTTTTATTTATTAATAAAAATGTTAACATTTATCAAATATGAAGCAACAGGTTTTTGAAGTATAATAATGATAATAATCATCTTTTTTTACTTTTATAGCACCTTTCCAAAGCCAGAGGTTGCTCTACAAAACTGGGCTTTTATCATAAAATTAAGCATTAAATATTTCTAGACTATATTATTATTATTATATTATCAGGGGACATAGAGTGACAATTTTAGATTTTGAGGTAAAGTCCAATAACCTGTTTTATTTACGAACACCAAAAAAAATGTAATTTCCTCACTATTATTTTATGTCAGACTTAAACTTGAGCCATTCAGATTTGTGTATTTGCTATGATGTTCATCACAGCACCAAATACTTAAATATTTAGACTTAATAGGCTATTTATTTTCAAACTTTTTTTACATTTTAATCTGGACTACAACATGCCCTAGATATTGTTTGAAAGTGTTCTGATTCTTTATTGTTCGGTCACACTTTACATTAGGGCTTCATTAGTTAACATTAGTTAACATAAACTGCCAATGAAAAATTCTTCTGAACATGAATTAATCTTAGGTATTCCAATATTTAATAAGACGTTGTTAAAATCGAAAGTTGCAACTGTGTTATTTAATGAGCTAACATGAACTAAGACTTAATAACTAATAATTAATAACTTCTGTAGCAAATGTAGCTATTGCTCATTGTGAATGTTAATGCATTAACTAAGGTTAACTAATGAGGTCTTATTGTAAAGGGATACCTATTGGTCTTTATAGTTCTTTTGCACTTTCATCGGTGTAAAACTTTTAACTTTATACATTTTTCTGTATTGCTTTATTGCATTTAAATGTTCAGTTATTTTTGTTATAAGAAAAAAGTTATTAAACCTGTTATACTGTATTATGACAGCACTTTTTTAAAACTAAATTTCAATACCGTGATAATACCGTAATAAAAGCATTAGCAATTAGTCGCAACCTGAAAATTTGATACCGGCATATCCCTAGACTCAGACTTCAACCTGGTTAATATACCATAAATTTGCCCGTCATGCAGGATAAAATAGCTTGTTTGTTTTAAACGAACCAGTTAACTGAATTACACACAAATAACATACAAAAGGCAGTTGTCGCCGCATACCAGCGTAATGATGCAACACACAGAAAGGGTAACTTTACAGGCCACAAACGGTCTGGTTATACACATCAGTGTCAGCATCGTAAAAATACACTACAGCTCAACTAGCGACGGCTCGCTTAGCGCCTGTGAGAGCTCGTGGTTCGAGTGAGGAGCGCCGGTGCTGGTCACGTTGCGGCCGCATTGCTCGCGCAGGCCGGGCGACTTCACTCAGCTCCGTCAACAACTGCTCAAACAATAAAGAGTGTTATATTTCCCTTACCTTTATTCTTTGGCATGTTCGGATTACAAATACTGCTGTCTTTGTTCGGTGATGTCGTATAACAAAGTATTTGAATAAAGAACTGTTACGTTTCAAGGAGGAGGATGTCAAATAACTTCCCTCTCCCTTTTTTTCTGAAGACTTCCGCTTAAGCATTAATCCACGCCTGCGCAAAACACGATTTTACATAAAAACTTTATTTATACTCTCAAAGACACAATTTCATTGGGCTGGAAATACAAAGCGCCAGAACGTGTCCATTGAGGACAATACATTTTAAAGGTTTCAATGCTGCGGAGTAATTCGAAGAAAAACATAAAACTGAATTGCAAGATTTATTTTACTTAAACTTAATCAGATTGTTTTTGAATACAGGGGTAAAAACCTGCTCTCTCAAGCACAACCGTGCTGCAAAACTACATGGCCAGTGTTACACGATAGTGGCCAGAAGAGATCACTAGGACATATTTCTCACTTGCACTGTTATTATTCAAATACAGTAGCAACAATAAAAAAAGAACAGTTTAACTAATTAATGTAAATTAATTCCAGAACATGCAGACGTCGTCTGTGGCCCGAGTCTCACCAAACATGTGGCCTCACACACAGTAGATACATATACATTAACATAAAAAAAAAACAGTTCATTGCCAGGTATAAAATAATACATTCTGAATAGTCTTTAAAATTATGATTCAGAAAACTGGAACAATCTTGGTTAATAGCCTGCATATTTCCCTTTAATTTCATGAAGAGAATGAACATCAAGAAATACAATAAAAGGAGTGTTAGGAATCACTTAAGCGTAAGACAGCAGTATATTGGTCATTCCCAGTAAAAAAAAAAAAAAAAAAAACTGCCCTTATATATCCATCTACCGTCATCTCCTACATTATGTTACCATATCCATTATGAAAGATACAGCATACAAGTGTTCTCATATAAGTAGCTCTTATATGAAGGGTATTTGTCTGCTGGAGAGGAAGAAGATTTAAAGAATGAGGTCACTATTTGGATTGCCTTTTTTGCAAATCAAATGCCCTTTAAGACACATGTGCATGACAAAGGGTTTTTGGACCACTTTGCCCAATTAAAACACTATATCAACACACAATTCTTGGTTTGTGACACACTACATCTCTAGGGACATACAATGAGGATTGTAAGTTAACTTGCATAGTTCTCTTTGATTTCACAAATTGTTTCAACACTGCACCATGTTTAAACACCATCTACAGTTGCGTGTAGTGGCATTACTGACTGACAGCTCTTTCTTTCAAAAGGAAAAGCTTGAGTAAGCCATTTCAGCACATGAGGTCTGTCTTGAAGAGGGTGGGCACAGCTATGATCAGATAATAATACTAGAAATAGTACGGCTCCATGCAATCGCTAGACATGACATCACCACCACCACAACACAGAAAACAAACTGTGAATCACAGCCCCTTAACATCATACATTATCTCCACACAGACACATATTTTCATATTCATATATAATCCCATATGAAGTACATTTCTAGAGTGTTTTCATAAAACAATTGTACATGAATTTAATATTCTCCTAAGAGCTTTTTTATAATATTCTACATGATGATGCATCAATGACAAGAACTAAAAAAAAAAAAGTGTTTGTTTTTTTGGTTTGGGCTGCCATTCCATGACGACAGTAGAACCACCATACATCTCACACATTTATGTGCCATTTGTAGTTTGGGGTTTAAATCTGAACGGTCACAGGGCAGTAGAGGTCAGCTTTTTGACACCACGACGCTGAGCGAGTGTGGAGCATCCCACCGGATCCAGAACGGGAGAAACATTTCTGTTCAGGGCTGAATAGGTGGCTGCCATTGCTCCCTGAGATAAAAGGGGAAAATAATAAGAACAGGAGCATTAAGTATTATAATTAGTGCTGGGTAACGATGAAAAACCGCGATTAATCGCATGATTTTCTGCGATTAATCGCATTGTTATGCTCAAAATGTAATGATGAATTCAAAAGTAGTGTATTGCGCGCTTTTATTTTAAAAGTACTGCTATATGAACAAAAGTGAAATAACATTTGTTTGCAAACACTTTAAACAAATAAGGTGCTTTTTTACAACAGTATTCCCTTTACATAGTAGCAGTTAAATTATTTCTTGTAAACTCCAACCTAAACATTAATGTAATCAAATTAAATATAAAACCAAAGCTATTTGCCACTGCCAGGGCATTAACGTTTTGTCTAGTTTGTTATAGAAAAAAAGTTATGCTCAGAGTCCAGAGCCTAGATCATAACATTATAACAGGCACCTTCCAAGTAGAGACTTGCACTATCGCGGGACCCAATGCTGTGCAACAGAGTGCGGCGTGGGACAACACTTGATGGGCTAGTGTGGACAGTTAAAGACTCGTGTGTGTGCGCGGGATGCGGGAGAAGAAAATGGTTCGCGGGACTCCCGCAAAATAGACATATCTAAACATAAGATATCTAAACACAATATATAAATTGTTATTCATCTATTGCACAAAAGCAACAAGAACAACTAATATAACAAAAATGATTAACATGCACAAGCATAGACAGTTTCTATTTATAACACGTGTTTGCCGCATTGAGCAATGTAGACAGTCACAGATCTGTTGATTTCAGGAAGGTATTTAAGTTAGAATCCACTCACCGCTCAAAAGTTCTTGCGCAGTGCTGAAAATTGCGTGCTTACGAATCCTCTCATTAACACACGAAGTGTAGACATTATGGAAGATTCATTGTGCATATATTCATTGTGTTATAACAGCTATGAGATCATGATGAACTGAGATGTCAGCTTTTTAGTGATAATAAAGGGAGCCATGGCATGCACGCAGCAGCCCATGCTTGCTTTTCTGTTAAAAATAACAGGGAACAGTGGTTTGTGAATGTTGTTGTTTAGCCAAAATTATTTTATCGGGAGCGTTCATGTGAGCGCTGCTGCAGTCTTTGGGTAGGGCTGCACGATAAATCGAAATGGAATTGAAATCGCGATTCGACAGAAGCTGCAATTGTCATGCGTATCTTTCAGTGAAGCACGGTTCTGTGATCAGCAGTAAATCTCCATCCAAAGGCCAGAGGGCGCTCTCGCGCTGAATCTCCAAATACACCTCGCAGAATCCCAGGAAATGCCTATAGCGGTAGCTGGATAAACAGAAGATTTAACTGCTTTTATTGATTCAACGTGACTAATGACAATATGACAATATATGGTTTATCGGAGTTATTATTATTATAATTTTCATTAAAATAAAGTATATTTATAATGCAATGCCTTTATCACTGCTTAGAATACTATGAAATATGCTGCGTGCCTTATTCTGTGAAAGAAGCCACATCATCTCACAGAAGAATTTTTTTCAAACACTCGACTGACGTTATGAAGTGAGTTTGGAGTAAAAATATGTTATTAAATGTGGTATTTTCACATGCTTTCAGATGGAGCAGCATTTACTACACAGAGCCGTAGTTCACTGAGAAGCTATGCAAACAGCTGTCATTATCGCGAACGATTTCTTCGATTTCATAATCGCGCAATAAAATCGTCTGCGATTTTTTTTGCGTAACTTGTCAGTGAACTACGGCTCTGTGTAGTAAATGCTGCTCCATCTGAAAGCACGTGATGAAGATTTACTGCTGATTACAGAACCGGCTTTACTAACAAAATGCGCATGACAATCGCATTCGATTAATCGTGCAGCCCTATCTTTAGGCCAACCCCAAATGCTCACGTTGGTTGAGATGCGTGATGACGCCCATCCCAAGCCAGTACCGATCAACATCCCAACACCCCCTCCTGTGACCCATGGTTTGTCTGTATGTGTATTCAGAGCCAGTGAGCAACGGACTTTCATAATGATAAAAAAACTGTGTTAATGCGCGATAAAATAATTGTCGGCGTTAATTAATTAAAGTGATAACGCACTAACTTGCCCAGCCCTAATTATAATGATAATACAGGACTGTTGGGGTGACAATGACACCATGATTCAAATTGCTAGCTTCACATTTGAAACTATTATTGCAAAGCAAACCTTCACTAGATGAGGTGCATCCTGGCGGTTAAGTTGGTATTTTGGTAGCTGGTCCTTGTTGACTATCCATGGGTGACGAAGAACTTGAGCAGCAGTCAATCTCTTATGAGGATCAACGTGAAGCATCTTTGATACCAGGTCCTGTCACCAAAGAGGTTTAAAGACTATACATCAAATACATATACATGAGGCTAAGGAAGTCTGATAAACAAAAGGAGGGCCTTCAACCTTAGCCTCGAACGATACAGAATTCCAATATCCTCCAGAAAGCGAGAATTTCCCACTGCCAATCCGAACCAGAATTTCTTCCGGTGTATCTTCCGGGCCATTAGCAAACGGAGTGAACCTGAAGGATGGATAAGAGCGGTGAGTTTTTAAACTGATATGAATATTGTTTTTGAACTAAATCAAGATCTATATGCAACAGAAAAATGCATGCAGAAAATCTGAATTGTATAGTATGTTAAAGTACCCTGTAAGCATGGTATAAAGGAGAACTCCAAGACTCCAGATATCACAGGCTGCATCATAGCCTTGCTTCTTCAGGACCTGAGGGGATAACACAAACACAAATAATAACAGAGTATTGAATATAACTTACAAAAATAATATAATATAGATATATCTAGGCTCTCATCTAAAACAAATCAAAAGGTACCTCTGGAGCAACAAAGTTAGCAGTGTAGCATGGTGTCATCAGCAGTCCATTTTCTGCTCTGAGTTGTTTGGCAAAACCAAAATCACAGATCCTGATTGATTCTGGGTTGCCTGATTCGTCCACGTACAGGATATTACTGGGCTTTAGGTCTCTGTGTACTACCTGTAAGCAAAGTGACAATCTATTTACCTTGATAACAAATATACAGTATGAAATATTTAAATAAATATATATTTATTTAATAACCAAAGTGCATATCTATGAACCATAACAACTCATAATAAATATATACATCTAAAATATGCATTTAAATAAATAAAAATAACAACAAAAAATAATAATAAATATAGCTGCAAGCAGCAATCACGGGGGCCAAGCACTCCAGAGGCAAATTGAGAAGCTAAGCATGGCATGGAGCATCAGACCAAATGCAACAATGAGTAATAAAAGCAATTTTAGGATGATTGTAATTGAAATGGCTGAAAATTCATAAATACAACCATTAATAATACGATTTATTGGCTTATCACTTTTGACCAATAGGTGGCGCTGTTACCAAAATAATGTGGCATGGTCAGTGTGAGGTGACAAATGCATTTACAAAGTTTGGTGTCAATATGTCAAATATTTGCAGAGATATGCAGTTTGGCACTATGCCTAAAATTTGTAGTGGCGCTGTACAAAAACGGTTTCGTTTGTCGACATGAAATCCATAACTCATTGTCAGCACAGTCTGAAGATCATCTGACTCGATTTTGGTGAAAATCGGACCAACGAGTGGTGAGGAGTTAAAAAAAGGAGGTTTTTAACATAAATCAAAATGGCGGACAGGAAGTTCAGCTTACTCTGGCAAATTTGGTATCTATGTTGTAGGCATAAGCCAAGGAATATTTCGATATCAGTTTCATTGCAATAGGCTAATGCAATCAAAAGTTATTAGCATGTTTATGAATGTAATTATTGATGGTTAATGAATGGTTTATTACTCTTGACCAATAGGTGGCGCTGTTACCAAATTGATGTGGCATGGTCAGTGTGAGGTGACAATGGCACAAACAAAGTTTGGTGCAAATATGTCAAAGCTTCGCAGAGATACAGCCTCAGATGCAGTTTGGCACTATGCTTAAAATTTGTAGTGGCGCTGTACGAAAACAGTTTCGTTTATCGACACGGAATCCATAACATTTTGTCAGCACAGTCTGAAGATCATCTGACTCGATTTTGGTGAAAATCGGACCAACGAGTGATGGGGAGTTCAAAAAAGTAGGTTTTCAACATAAATCAAAATGGCGGACAGGAAGTTCAGCTTTTTCTGGCATATTTGGTATCGATGGAGTAGGCATAAGCCAAGGAATATTTTGATATCATAGCATTTTTGTAAATTGCTTTATAACTTTTGACCCCAAAATTTTTGTGTTCCATCAGGGCACGGTGCCGAAGATGCATACCGATTTTCGTAATAATAAAGTCTAAGTGTTCTTAAAATATTACATTTTTTTGACTAAATTCAAAATGGCCAACGCCCAAAATGGCTGACATGGAAAAATTTGGTATGATTCGACTCGGCATGATGCACCGAATCTAAAGAGACCAGTTTTTTTGAATTTTGGCCAAACCATTCAGAAGTTATAATCAAAAATATGCATTTTTCATATCTCCTGACCACTAGGGGGCACTGCGCCGAAACACTGCAGGTAGTCTCAAGTCATGCTTGTTATAACACACACCAAGTTTGGTCTCAATACGCCAAACCGTTGCGGAGATATAGCCTCACATTGTTATTTTTGGCCAAACCATTCAGATGTTATAAGCAAAAATATGCATTTTTCATATATCCTGACCACTAGGGGGCACTGCGCCGAAACACTGCAGGTAGACTCAGGACATGCTTGTTATAACACACACCAAGTTTGGTCTCAATACGCCAAACCGTTGCGGAGATATGGCCTCACATCCATTTTTACGTGCTTTTCGTAGAATTCCTTCGTGCGTTATTCGAGAACGGTTGGACAAATCAACTTGAATTCCATAACTTTTTGCCAGCATGGTCTGAAGATGATCTGAGCCAATTTTGGTGAGAATCAGACAAACTGTCTAGGACGAGTTCGAAAGAGTAAGTTTTACGAACAATTAAAAATAGCGAAAAAACTAAACCTTGCGATCTTTGAATTTTGGTGTTCATTCGACTCGGCATGAGACAAGGATTCACAGGAAAAATTTCCCATTTGTGCCTTATGGTTCAAAAGTTATTAGCATAAAGATATTGCAAATTTGTACAAGTGGTGGCGCTAGAGAGTTGGAGTTAGAGACTCCAAACTTGCTGTGGTTAATGTTAAGACTGTCCCCTATCAGTGTGCCAAATTATACAACTTTCCCGCAAGCGGTTCTATGGGCTGCCATAGACTTGCGGCGGAAGAAGAAGAGGAAGAATAATAATAACGCCAACAATTTCAATAGGTGACTACGCACCTTTGGTGCTTGTCCCCTAATAATAATAACGCCAACGGTTTCAATAGGTGACTACGCACCTTCGGTGCTTGTCCCCTAATAATGATGCATACAAGTTTGATTGAAGGCACACCAAAAAAGACATTTCAATGGTGTAACAGTGTACTTAATTATCCTGGCTAAATTAAATCTTAATCAGTAATGTTTGCTGTGTGTGCGAGAATGCTCTTACCCCTTGGGCATGCAGATATTCAACAGTCTTTGTAATGGTGTGCAGGACAGCACTGGCCTCTCTCTCAGAGAAAAACTTTTGTCGGAGGATTTTATCCAGTAGTTCTCCACCTTTCATCAACTCTGTGACCAGGTACACCGATCGCCCATCATTGAATACCTATAAACCCACAAAGACTCAGAATAACAGGAGACAAAACCTGAGACTTTCCGGTTATAAGTGTCCTACAGGCACACAAACAATCACTCACGTCTTTCAGAGTGATGATGTTGGGATGTTGTCCATAACGCAGCAGAATCTCAACCTCCTCTGTTGGATCTCTCCTCTCCTTACTGATAATCTGCAATCCAACCATTGAAACCAAATGCAGCCTTGGTGAGCAAAAGAATCTTCTTTTAAAATCATACCAACCCTAAACTTGTGAAGGGTAATGATGAATACACATGGAAAAACCAATTAATACTTTGACACACCTCTTTTACATCTGACAAAGCAATCAGAACTGCCAACACAGCTCTCTATAAAACTATAAGAACCATGAAGACATCAGTAACAAAACAGATGTAGAGATATATTTACCTTGACTGCATAGTCCATGCCTGTGCTCTTGTGCACACAGCGCTTGCAGATGGAGTAAGAGCCCACACCAATGTCTTCTTTAACATCATATACATCTGTGAACTGAAGCGTGCTCCGGTGGGGCTGCTGTATAACATACATGCATACACTTTATTCCCATGTTGCAGGTGTGAGAGAAGTGTGTGAGTGACGCAAGGATACCTGCAGTATGCCGCTCATGTTGAGGTTGCTCTGAATGGGTGGCTGGCTCTCCTCTTCTACTCCAAGGGAAACAAAGCTAAACCCTCTAAAGAGCTGATGGGCATTGGCACTTGGAGGGACACCAGGAGAGTCTGGGACAAATGAAAAAGTAAACTGAGTACCAGTAGATTGTTGGGATTATAATATAATACATTACATTTGCATCACACACCTCGTGGGGTTTTGGCAGTGAACTCCGAGTCAAAGTAAAATGTGTCATCTGGCCTCTGGATGACTGGTTTAAAGGGAGGAGTCACTTCCTTTCTATATAATTTCTAGAGGGGGAAAAAATAATTTAAATTTAAAATATATTTTTAAAGAAACTAAATGCATAAAAATGAGTGCCCTGATGTTACAATTATAGCTGATACTGATAAGACAATCTTTTTTTTTTCATGTTATATTTGTTAAATCGTCAATATTGAAATTCTATACTATTGTGTGTAAATAAATCAAAAATACGTTTTAAACTGTACAAGTGAATTTAGGCATCACAACATTATAATGTGTAGTATGAAAAATGGATATTCATTTTAATTTGATTAAATTATTAATTCTTTAAAGATTAACTTTGTGAACAGTTGATGGCAGAAAGGTAATCTAAAAGTTAAAATAGAGGAAATGCACATACACAATTAGATATTCAATTTTGGCTAAAATCTAACCAATATTAAAGGGGACATCGGATACAAAATTCACTTTTACATGGTGTTTGCATATAAATGTGTCTAAGCAGTGTGTAGACACAACTACCCTACAATGATAAAAATCCATTTTTTTAAATCCCCAAAAAACCTGAACCGTCTCAATTATCAAGCCGTTTTGATTTTCTGAGCAGTATGACATCATCGCCGACGGACTGTCCCGTATTAGCATATTTCCGCCCTCAGCCGGTAGTACGCTGTCCGTCGTTTTCTCCACGCTCGAGCAGCTAAAGCGACAACAGTGTCTCATAAGCAAAGCAGGTGTTTTGTAGTTGGATGTTAAAGTGAACACGAGTCACTGAGGATGCAGTAGATTAGTTTTGTTTTTGACGGTAAAACAATACTCAAAAAACGGGGGGTGGGGTGAGCAGTAGCTCATTATCACTTAAAGAGATATGCAATGAAACAGGTCACTGTGAAGGTAAAAGGGTGTTGTTTTACAGAATTATTGAGGAATTTTAACCAAAGTATGTGGCAGACTTTTCATGAAGACCCTAAAAAAAAATCATACCAACTTGTGAAAAACGGTCATCCGATGTCCCCTTTAATAGATGGAAAAAGCCTCTAATCACAGCGGCAACATAAGGATGTTTAGATGATTTTATAGAAATAGATCATTATATCTGTGAATCATACATTTTTCTTAAAACTTAGATTCCGCATATAAGAAAATGAATCCTGGAACTTGTGATTATTACAAGGTTATTCGATGACTGACTAAAAACTTATTTGTCATAAAAAAAATAAAAAAAACTTACATTCCAGTCAATTGTGCTGAAGAACGAATGTCTTTTGATCTCTTCTACTCCATCAGGCCCGGCTCCTGAAATTCCAACCCCAACAATCAATGAACAGACTGAAATTCACCAAATTTACTCAGCATGTACAACCTGTTCTTGGAAAACTAGTAGAAAATGAGCTTTTGTCACCTAAGCGGTTGCCAGGATTCCTCTTGAACAGATTGCGGAGCAGAGACTGGGCCTCTGGGCTAAGAAACTGAGGCATGCCCAGCTTGGCCCTGGAGACACAGAAACCAACGTCAGTACAAAGACTCCATTATAAAGATCAGCGTTTTGAGTAAATAAGACTTACTTTAAGATCATTGTCATGGTCTCCTTTCGGTCTTTCCCTTGGAATGGAAGCGTTCCGGTCAGCATTTCAAACTGAGGAGGTAGAAATACATCATAATCACTGCACTGTGACACAAAAATTATGTTGTAATATACAAATACAATATTAACCCTCTTACCATTAGCACACCGTAGGACCACCAATCAGCACTGTGAGTGTGACCTCTGCGGTTGACCACCTCTGGAGCCATATATTCCACCGTACCACAGAATGAATATGCCTTGTTCTCATGGTCAATGGACTCTTTACTCAACCCAAAGTCTAGGAAACACACACAAAGACACAACCAATCTTACTAAGACTTATCATTGTGAGATTCTGACAAAATGCTCAAAAAGACTAATCTGAAACTATGACAAACTCATTCAAGATTGTTATATACCAAGTTATCATTATTAGTGATAAAACACACATACCTGTAAGTTTGATGTGTCCATCATTATCCAAAAGAATACTGAAAGAGATCCAAATTTAGTTATCTTATGCAAATGTGCAATACATTGAGTTAGTCAAAGTGTGATTATTAGAAACATCGTAATATGTGGATATATTACAATTATTTATTGATTAGAATTAGAATTATTCAAATATTTGTGGTATATAATGTGTTCTTAAACATGTAGTTACTATGCACTTTGCTGTTGTACTGAGCCGAGACACCTCACACTTTACTTAATACGTGGGTGAGAAGCATACTTTTCTGGTTTGAGATCTCTGTAGATGATTCCCAGTCCATGTAAATGGTCCAAGGCCAAAGCCAGCTCTGCAAGGTAGAACTTTACATCCTCCTCTGTAAACATCACCTACATAAAGACATGAAAAGGGGGAAGAAGAATTAGCAGAACTTCATCTATTCTTACATTATTTTAAACTGTTGATTCATATTTAAATGAGATTTACAAGTACATCATCATTCAAACGTCGATTTTTTTTTGCAAGAAATTGATATTTTTATTTAGCAAGGATGGATTAAATCAATCAAAAGTGACAGTAAATATTCTTACATTGTTACAAAAACTATTTTAAATAAATGCTGTGCTTTTAAACATTCTATTTGTCAAAGAGTCCTGAAGAAAATTTATCACAGTTTCCACAAAAATATTAAGCAGCCATTTTGACTGATAATACAATTTTTACTGAGCACCTAATCAGTATATTAGAATGATTTCTGAAGGATCGTGTGACACTAAAGACTGGAGTAATGATGCTGAAAATTCAGCTTTGCCATCATAGAGATATATTACATTTTTAAATATATTAGATTATAAAACATTTACTTAAAATTGCAATAATATTTCACAATATTACTGTTTTTACTGTATTTGTGATTACATAAATGCAGCCTTGGTGAGAATAAGAGACTTCTTTCAAAAACATAAAAAAAAAATTCTTGTGCATGTTGGATTTTTCTGTCCCTAGACACGTAATTCACCTCTTTGGACAGGCGAGTGAAGAGATCTCCTCCTCTGAGAAAGTCCAGAATCAGATAGAGTTTGCCTTCTGTCTGAAATGCTGAGGAATCAAAAGAAAAAATTCAAGATTTGTAACACGTGCATTTAAATATAATTAGTAATAAGAAGTTGTACTCCAAGTTCAGTTAAAGTTCAACAGAAACACACAACCATGAAGCGTAAGAATCTGATTGGTGATGGGATGTCAATAACTCACCATAGTGCAGTTTAACAATAAAAGGATGGTTGACCTCAACTAGTATGTCTCTCTCCATCTTTGTACGCATTCGATCTCGTACTGAAACCACACACACACACCCAAACAAAAACATTATACATCCCCATTATAAAAACTTCCTTTTTCAGTTTGTGCAACTTCAATAATAATGCACTGACAGCAAATGCTTTTAAAGAAGTTGTCAACACATAAAACAATATACAAACACACACACACCTTTCAATGTAGCTTTCTTTAGTACTTTCATAGCATAGAGCTGTCCTGCATCGGGCTCAGTTATCTTCTTGACAAGGAATACCTGCAGAAGCATGCGGCATTATTAAATGAAAACCAACAGAATGATGCTTCTGCATGTAAACACAATAATAAAAAACAGATAACGTTCGATTTTCACATATGTGAGCAGTTCACCTTGCCAAAAGATCCCTGGCCCAGCACCTTGCAGAGTTCAAACTGTCGTGTGTCCGCTTTTTCCGAGCCCTCCTTGACATGGTGAGTGATGCTAATTTCCTTGACCAAGCCCTCATCCTATAAAGGAGACACATGAGGTATGAGGATGCACGTGTCAACAACAAAACATGCAATACAACATCAAACCAGCAATCACAGAACATGTCTCTTCTTCTGTTCTTTTAAAAACAGTTATCACAGCTGTGTAACTTAAAAAAAAAATCAATGCTAAAAAACAATTGTCAAAACACACCATCACTTCAACAAGCCAATACAAACTCATGCCCAAAAAAGGTCTGAGAGTCAAGCAAACACACACACACAGCAGAGGAGCAGCATGCCAAAGCCTGTAGGAGGAGAGAGAGAATAAACACCAAATAAAAGAAGCAGAGGGTATAAACAGGCCCATCTGACTAACTGAATGAATAAATGACTGAACACCCACAACTGACCAGAAGATGAACGCTAAATGCTAAAATACTAACTTAATGATAATATGTATTAGATAGAGCTAAAAGTGCTACACTCAACTTCATATCATGTATCGTCTTCTTCCCTTCTTTCACTCTCTCTTTCTCTTAACATACACTTGAGATGAGAAACAGGGTGGGACTGGCTCATAATCTAGTCATACACACAGAGTTCTATCAATAGATTGCACACACCAGTCTGCCAATATGAATGAAACTGAATGACGGATGTCATCTGAAAAAGACCACAGATGTCAATATCCACCACAGAGGTCAAAAATGACAGAAAGAAAATGACAGGATAAGAGGAGGACAATATAAGTGTCAACAAGTCAGAAACGAAACGTGTGTGTATCGGTGCACAATAACAATTTGAGAGCAAATATCTTAAACAAGCCTTTTTATTCTGCTACGTTCTTGGTTTTACCATGTTTTGTTGGGAGACTATGTACTTCATTAATAATCAAAGCTTCTCTCCTGACCTGCTTTCACTAGAATTTCGAGCTGGCAGAATAGTTAGAAGCCCACCAATGACAGACAGAGCCATTTTATTTTCATAAACATGGGTCTTTTAATCCAGCAAAGTTGACTTATTAAGATTATAAGGATAAACTCACCAACAACAGAACGCGTTAATAGCTGTTAATACATCATGAATGTTGGCATGTCTGTAACACTGTATTGACCAATCAGCATCCACGACCAGAATGATCTATTTCAAAATTTCCCTTTTTGAAATAGACAAATTTACACTGCAAAACAAGCTGGCACTGCAGTTCTGAAGTAGAATTTAAGTGCTTTTGCGCAGACAGTGTAATGCTGCTCTGAGGTTGCATAAATACATTTACACAGCCATATGCAACAGTATATTTTGATACTAAGCACCGAGATGGGTCAGAGCAGAAATATTTCAGTCTGGCTTTTTTAGCAGGAACAGAACAGCCTGTAAAATGCATTAATTAGATGGAGATTTATATGGAATGTGTCATTGTATTTAACTCTGAACACAGCTGTATTTAGTATATTGTACTATTCTTACATAATACATGCAATATTAATTATTAAGTCATATGTATCTTATATTTATGTCACATCCACAACAAAGTGTTTGGGTAAAAAATGTACTTAAATAATGGTGCGGACGTCTCTGCAAATTAATCTAAAACTGAATTTAAATTCTAGAAGTTTGAGAGCCGATGAGATGACTGAGGGGGCCTGGCATGAGAAAGAGGAGCCTGAGAGGATGCTGGCAGACCTCCGGGGAGATTTTAACTGAAGCGTGACCAAGGATGATGACTTGAGGGACACCTCACAACAGGAACAGGAAGTGAGCGTGGGTGTTACACACACTTTGTCAAGATCTTGACTCTCAATAACCCTCCTTTCCACATACACATACATACAATGGGACAAGACTAAATCTACACTACTGTTCAAAGGTCTGGGGTCAGTAGGTAATTTTTTGGAAAAAAATACATTTTAAAATATATTCAAATAGAAAAATAGCTCTTTTAAATTATAATAGCATTGAACAATATTTCTGTTTTACTGCATTTTTTATCTAATAAATGCAGCCTTGGTGAACATAAAGAGTATTATTTAAAAAATCTTACCAACCCAATACTTTTAAATGGTAGTGTGACTGACCTTAATGTACTGTATATCGATCACTTCTCTCTTCATTTTCTGCTAATGCCTCCACTGCTAAAAGGACATACTATCACAACAAAATGAACAATTCGCCTAACTCTCGCATGCTCTTTAAAACATTTTCCTCCCTCCTTTGTCCTCCTCCTCCCCCTCCTTCAT